ACTTCTAACACACTTCCCAAGGTGCTTTTGATAGCTGATGGACTAAAACAGAAAACAAACTAAGTATCCTTAAAGAATCCTATTTATAAACCTGAGGAGTTAAATTTTCTCACATAAACTGCATTTACAAATTTACCGTATTCTATATTAAACACTTTAATTGGCTCTAACAAAGATATCTAAGAATATTAACTGTAGGTAAATTCATTAGAATAAAGTTTGAAATATAATTAAGTTCTCAATATCTCAGAGCTAAATTTAGCCAAATACTTAAACCTTGCAATTTAAAAAACAATTACACAAATAAAATGTATTTACAAGACTAATTTGTATGTACTCTAATAGACCTAATTCTCTGAAACACAATTTGGGGGAGGGGATAGCCAGCAGGCACTCTCATACAAGGGCAGGGGAGAGGCAGAGGGAGAGAGAATCTTAAGCAGACTCTGTGATGAGCATGGAGCCTGATGCAGGGCTTAATCTCACAATCTCACCTGAGATCATGACCTGAGCCAAAATCAATAATTGGACATCTAACTGACTGAGCAATACAAATGCCCCTAAAACACAGTATTTTAAAGGGCAAATACACTGATTATTCATAAACTTAATTCAAAAATATTAATATTAAGCACTTAATAAATGAAATTTATTATCTATATTTACTTCTAACCTTATCATGGATAAAAGACCCACTAAGTAGTGATTCTCAAGGTGAGATCCTTAGATCATATGAAGGAAAGCAGTAATTCTCAAAGTGTGGTCCTCAGACCAGCAGCACCAAGCATTACTTGGTAAACTGATAGAAATCCAAATCATGGAGCCTAGTATAGAAGTACTAAATCAGAAGTTCTGGGGAAGGGGCCCATCATTTTTGTTCTAGTGAGATTTTCAAGTGATTCTGACATACACTAAAGTCTGAGAATTACTGCTTTATTGTAGCGTCAAATATTCAGAGACTGTTTTGTCTGAAAACACAGATAACACAAGATTTCAGAGATCCTGAGATGAGCAACAATTTTAAAATAGGGATATATACCCTGAGAAGGAAACAATATGATGAGTTCAAACTTACCATCAGTTACCACTAGCAGACTAAGGTTATTTATCAAGGTGGAATTCTCCCCCCCCCCCACCACCACTTTAAGAAATGAGACTAAGAATGTAATCATCTAGGATCCTCCTCCTCCACTGACCAACACTGTGAGTCTTGGGTTTTTTTTTTTTTTTTAATAGTTTTTGCAATAACTGGTCCTCCAAATCTTTTAGAGGCACTTGGTCTTTCATGTGTTCAAGATAAACTATTATCTAACTCTTTTTTTTTTTTTTATTTAACTCTTATGTGTAATCAGCATCTGCAATTTCTAATCTCTTCATTGGATTTTGCTTTTTCAGCTCATTTTAATATCTTTCTAACCCTAAAGAAGCTTCAATGACAACCCATCCTATTCTTTACCTAATTTAACTTGTTTAAATTTATCACACATGATAGAGCTCTGCATTCTTCTCACGTTTTTTTTTTTTTTCCCCTGTCTGACAGGGCCATCACTCTTATAAATATTAAGATATCACCTGAATCTAGGAAAATGAGATAACAGTACCTATCTTATAGAGTTGTTATTAGGATTAAATATTTTCTAGTGCCTGCTCAATGTTCCTGGCAACTAGTATTCTTGTTGCTGTTCCTCCTGAAAGATAGTGTTTTAATCACTAAAGCTAAGTGAAAATAAATTTTAAATAGGACTGAAATGTGTTTAAAGTATACTGTCACAGAGTTGACATAGCAGGGTAGCTTATGATAATAACTATATCACAGAAAGTTGAGACTTAAACTTGATAAACCTAATTATTTACACTTATTTATTACTATTATAATCTAGTAACATGAATACTTTTAAAAGCTAAGTAAAGTAAGTCAGAGAAAGACAAATACCATATGATTTCCCTCATGTAGAATTTAAGAACAAAACAGATGAACAAGGGGAAAGGAGGGAAAAATAAGATGAAATCAGAGAGGGAGACAAACCATAAAAGACTCTTTACCGGAAACAAACTGAGGGTTGCTGGAGGAGAGGTGGGGAGGGGTTTGGGGTAAGTGGGTGACAGGGAGTAAGGAGGGCACTTGATGTAATGAGTACTGGGTGTTATACGCAACTGATGAATCACGAAACTCTACTTCTGAAACTATTAATACACTGTATGTTAATTAATTGATTTTAAACTAAAAAATTTTTTTCTAAAGGCTGCATAGTATAGGTTATGGTCATGCTCCCTAACAAGAGCTATACTCAAGGTCCAAAAATTTTTCTTGAATCAAGTCATAATTTACTCTCTAGGCAGAAACAAGAATTGCATCATAAGATTTTTTTTTTTTGTAATTATTATCGACTAGAGTGATGGTGTGATAAGCTCCTTAATGTGTCTAAGTCTCAATTATGGTTTTCTTGGGGGGAGACTATAAAATGTTGGGAGTCAGAAAACACTAAAAGATAGTAGCAAAAGGAGCCACCTAGGAGAGTAAAGGAATCAAACACTAGTCCAGTAAGTGGTTTATTTATAGAAAGAGCAGAATCAAAAACATTTGACCAAAATCTTACCTAATTCATTCTTAATACATCAACAGTAAAGCTATTTTATCAACTGAACACAAAATGCGGCAAGATCACTACAATAAATGGGGTCCTGGAGTGCAGCCAATTTACAAGTGGGGATGTGTCTGTACAAGAAATACTGCGATACTTAAAGGACATTTTAAAGAACTAAAGGAAGGGTGAGACGATAGGAAACTTAAGCAGCTGTTATAAAAATCTGAAATAAAGGTAGTCACAAGCAGAAAGGGCAAAATAAATCTTTCAAACAGACTGACAGATATTCATTCTGAAAGACAAAAACAAAAAAAAAAAAAAATCCTATAGCCAAAATCCACTGGGTAGCCAGAAATAGAAATAAAGCATCCTTTATTTTTCACTTGTATGTATGTATACATGTTGCCTCTCAACGGAGTCAATCTAGGAAACTATACTTATTCTAAAAATGGTGATCAAATTATTGCTGGGTCAAATTACTTCTTGAACTACCTTCAGAACTCTGTAGGCATAACTTCATAGATCCACAACGTTTTTACACCAAATACTATTTTCTAGCTTTACTGCCCATCATTTTCACTAGCTGTGATCTAAATGAAAAAGAGCTCTAAAATTGAGAACCTTTGGGATCATCTGATCAGTCTCATTTACAAACAAGAAAAGATAGGCCCAAAGAGATTAAGTAATCGTACAAATTCTTTCAGCAAGTTACTGACAGGATCTCCTGCACACCTGACTGTGGTCATAACTAGGACATCACAAGGCCTAACTTGTGTCAGACATCTGGGAGCACCATAAACATTAAACAATGTGCCGTGACTTGGTAAGGCAGCTTCAACAGAAGAGGAATTTTAAAACTGCAACTCTGAAGGAGAGTGTCAGATATAGCAGTCTGCTCAGTAAGTGTCTCAGATGAATAAATCTGATATATATGTTTGGGCTCATTAAAATACTGATCATATTCCTTACTGGTTGAATCACATCACATACTTCTGAATTCTACATCTGTCTAGAGGCTAGTCACCTATGAACTGTTTTCAATCAAGCAACTAAAGATTCATCTTAAAAAATCCTTTATTCTAACACTTTAAAAGTTCAGTCCTCATCCTTGGTCCTACCTTCAGGAGAATTCTGCATCTGGTTAACATCCTTCAAAGCAGATATATAGGATCCCCTCCTTTTCCATTTTTAATTCCATAAACAGGAATTCTAAAGATACGTTAAGGAAAGTGAGGAAAAATTATTTTAAGGGGGCAATGCTATAATTAAGATCTTTAATGTTCAAGTTTCTTCAAAGTTCAAATTACACACCTACACACACAGATCAACAGATGTCTCCACTGCTTCACTGCTTTAAAATGAGTGGCAAGATGTGGGGTTATGGATAGATTTTAAACTCCGTGAGCTTTTCTCTATTTTCTAAACGCTCTAATGCTACGTTTACTCTTGTAACACCCAAATGCATATTAAAACAACTAACAAAGATAAAACAGAAAAGACTAGGTCTGCTGCTTATTTAGAGGCCAATGACACTGGAGAAGTTCTCATACGGAACACCTCTTCGGCGAGCGCTTTTTAAAGTCCCGTAAGACATCAGCATCGGGCCTTTACGACTGGTTTTGTTTTGTTTTGTTTGAAAGAACGGTACGAAGACGTAGGATGAGGAAAAAAAAAAAAAAAAGGCTAACACAAGAGCGGGTAGAGTGGTCACCGAGGGGAAAAAAGTCCCTAAGTTCTGCCATCTCGACACCACACGCGGTCTTTCAAAGTCCATGGCACAAAAAGCAACCCAGGTTCCAGTGTAAACTCCGCATTCTCTTTCCGACGTAACCTAAGTGCTGAAGCCTGAAGCCTGCTGCCCTGACGCTCGCCAAGACCGAGGACCACGACCGAACCCGCCGCCGCGCTCTCCGTTACCTCAGAGAAAAAACACCCGCATCACAATCGGTGCGATAGTCACCTCCCAGTGGGAGGGAAAAGAAAAGAAAAAAAAAGAAGAAAGAAAGAAAGAAAAGAAAGAAAGAAAGAAAGAAAGAAAGAAAGAAAGAAAGAAAGAAAGAAAGAAAGAAAGAAAGAAAGAAAGAAAGAAAGAAAGAAAGAAAGAACGGGTCCCCTCGTCCAAATACTCGGCGGGGTAAAGAAAGTGGAGGGTAGATAAAGCAGGAAGCGCAGAGCAGGAACAGCGACGACGCGGGCCGCAGCAGGTCTTCCGTCCCCAGCGCCGGGGCCTCCCGCCCCGCCCCGCCTCCCGCCCCGCCTCGCGCCTCGCGCCTCGCGCCTCCCGCCTCCCGCCTCGCGCTCACCTGCCAACGCCCCGCCGCGCGACCCCCGCCCGCCGCCCGCCCCCCCCCGCCCCAGCCCTCAGCCCGGTCGGCCGCGCGGGAGGCGAAGGAAGGCTGGGCTCACCGGGTCCCTCCGGGCTGGACGGCGCCGGGGGCCGGTGGGGCGGGGACCCGCACCCGGGGTCCCCCTGCGCGGGCTCCCTCAGGTAATCCTCGAAGCGCACCTGCCGGGCTTCGCCGCCACCCCCGAAGCCCCACAGGCGGTTGGCAGTGCCCCGCAGGAGGCGCCCGCTCTTCCCCGTGAACGTGGTCAGGTAGTCCATGCTGCCGCGGGGCAGGCGCCCGGGAGGCCGCGGCGGCGGAGGCGGAGGCGGCGGCGGCGGCGGCGGCGGCGGAGGCGGCGGCGGCGGCGGCGGAGGCGGCGGCGGCGGCGGCGGCCACTGGGTGCGCGCCCGCCCCTGCGACCCGACCCGGGGGCGGTGGCTCCGCGCGCCTCACAGGAGGCGGGGCGGGGGAGGGGGCTCCCTCGGCTTGGCCCGGGGGCGGACCATCAGGAAACGAGGTACCGGGGGATCGGGGCGAGCAGGGGCCGCCAAAAGTTTCTTGAAAAGTTATTCTTGGGCTTCCAGACGCCACGTCAGGCAAAACTTCGCTTGTGAAGGAAGGGGCGTTCCCCCTGGAACAGAGGCGGGGGCGACAAGCCGGCGGCTTCCAAGCAGGTCGGGCCGGCCCCCCCCCCCCGCCCCTCTCCCCCCCGTCCCGCGCCAGTGGAGCAGGCCTGCCCCGCCCTGCCCCGCCCCGCCCCGCCCCGCCCCGCCCCGCCCCGCCGGGCCGGCCGGACTGTCGGGACTGCGGCCGAGAGCGGGGCGGGGCGGGCCGGCCTGGGGCCCGGGGCCGAGCGGGGGCCGGGCGGGGGCCGGGCGGGGGCCGGGCGGGGGCCGGGCGGGGGCCACGTGCGGCCCAGGGGAGGCTCTGCTGGAGCTACCGCGACCCGGGGGCTAGGAGGGCGGTGCAGAGAGTTTCTGTGCGTGCGTGTGTTAGACGAAGCGGCACCACTCAAACTTAGGCAGTTGTGATTCTGGGGTGCTGCGTGGGGGCGGCGGGGAGGAGGGGAGGTTATTTTTAGATAAAACTTCGTAATTAAAGCAAAACCAGCCTAAATAAAAAATAAATTCCCCAAAATAACCGATCCAGATAAAATGCTTTTTTACGAAGCATTAGGGAGACCACACTCGAAGAAAAAAGCATTCATAGCCAACGTTTTCAGTTGCTTGTGGCGTTGTGAACTGACGTTAAGAGTTTGACAGGCCATGAATCTGGTCCCCTAAAGCAAGGTAATTAAGGGCCTTAGTGTGCAACCTTATCCTCCCTTAGGCAGAGAAGAATCAATGACTTTTTTTCCCTAGAGTTGTACTTAATCATTTTTATTTTAATATTTTATTTAAATTCAGGTTGCCAACATACAGTATAACTCCCAGTGCTCATCCCATCTTGTACTCGCCTTTAAAGCCTGCACCCAGTGACGCCACCTCCCCGCCCCCTCCCCTTCTGCAGCCCCATCCTCCTCCCCTTCTGCAACCCCATCCCCCATCCTCCTCCCCTTCTGCAACCCCATCCCCCACCCCCTCCCCTTCTGCGTCCCTTAATGTTTCCCAGAGTTAGGAGTCACTTCTCATGGTTTCTCTTCCTCTCTACTATTTCCCCACTGAGTTTCCCTCCTTTCCCTTGCAGTCCGTATAAATCAATTTTGACATTTACTTGATTTTGTTTCTGTGAGATCTGATTATTCTCTTCCTTTCACATCTATACCACTTCTAGTTTTTTGCACGCATTAAATAAATAAGCCTTCTTTCTTGGAATTACTAACTTATTACAGTATGTGAAGAAAAGGTGTGAATTGGTTAAGAGTTGAAGATTTAGTCATACCAAATAATGGAGTCCAGAAAATCCTTCAGGAACTCAAGCGTTTTGCCAAACCATAAAGATTATCCCCTTCTTCCTTTTTTCTAATTGATACTTTCCCCCCACCATCACCTTTTTCAGCTTAAATTCTTACTAGAAAAATTTCACCATTCTAACAACAGCATTACCTTTATACCTGATTAAAAATACAGAATGTTTGGGCTATACCCCCAAAGTAGAACTCCAGTGTTTGTTAAAAGGGATCCTGGAATCTGCATATCCAGCAAACATCCATTCAGATGTTTTGGACCTCCTACTAGACACATCTGGTAGAATGGTAAGTGGCTCCTAGTTTTTCTGAGATTGCCTTTTGATAAGGAAGCATAACCACCCTTAGCACCACTTCTAAAATCTCACAGAAGCTCAGTAAGCTTAAAAATCGAATTGGAATGACTTAGGTCTAATTCTGATTAAACTGAAATTCTTTTTCTAAAGTATGTTTTATGTCTTTAAATTTATCATTTAGTTTGTGATAATCATATCCAAAATAGTGTCTGAGTTTTTTATAGTTGATTAAATATGCACTTTTATATCCAACCTCAGCAGGAACCTATACTCTATCAGTTCAAATACAGGTTTATAGGCAGTTAACCCATCTTTTTTTTTTTTTTTTTTTTTCTTCATTTCATGGAAAGCTACAGCTGCTAGGGAAAAATGTATAACCTTGATGATTAAGTGCTTTACAAATTTTGATTTAAACACAACTAAAGACCGTAATGTCTCCAATATCCTTTTATGCATATAATCAGCTTTCTTTTTTATTCCTCACATTTGTTTTCTGAACCATCACTATTCTCCTGAAGTTACTAAATTCATCACTCCAATATGTTATTTTGCCTTCTGCATGAGAAGTCATAGGCCACCAAATATGAACATTCTCACTTTTCTTCCCTTTTTCTTTTCCATCTACAACAAGCTCATCTTCACTATTTTGCCTCAGAAGGAAGTCTTTACTTCTGTCCATGCCATTCCCTCCAAATTAACTCTTTAGTTATTTTTTATCTATGAGAGAGAGCTCACAAATGGAAGGTGGGGGGTATGGAGGGGAGAATGGGAAGTGGGGCAAGGTGGGGCAGAGGGACAAGCAGATTCTCCCCTGAGTGGGGCTGGATCCCAAGAACCTGAGATCCTGACCTAAGCCCAAAGCAGATGCTTAACCAACTGAGCCACCCAGGCACCCCTCAAAATTAACTCTTGATCTTAGTCTGGTTTATATTATATTTGACTTGTCAGCGTTATGACTCCTCTCTTATATTATTTTCTCTCTCTCCACTCCACTCTGGTTCCTTTCCCTTTTCCTACCTATATCATTCACATAAATCCTTCATCCTTAAAAAAAAAAAAAAAAAAAAAAAAGTTTCTTTATACCATGCCTGCCTCCTCCAGCAACCTTTGCCTCATTTTAAAATACTTTTATTTACATATGATTTACAAGCCATGTAATTCATCTGTTAAAGACATACAATTCAATGTTGTATATTTACACAGTTGTTAAACCATCACCAAAATCTAATTTTTCAACACTTCTCTCACCCTAAAAAAAGATACTTCTTACCTCTTTGCAGTCACTCCTCATGCCCACACCCAGGAGCTGGTGACCACTAGTCTATCATTCATCTTTATGGCTTTACCTTTTAGAAATATTTCATACATATGGAATTATATAATACCTGACTTCTTTCACTTTAGCATGTTTCTGAGGTTTATTCATGTTATAGCATTTATTAGTATTTCAATCCTTTCTATTGCAAATAATATGCCACCGTATGGATATATCACATTTTATTCATTCATAAGGTGATGGATATTTGGACTGATCTCATTTTTTGGCTATTATGAATAATGCTGCTATGAACATCTCTGTACAAATTTTTGTGGACATATGTTTTCATTTCCCCATATGTATAATAGTATCAGTTTACGGTCTACAAAATGATAATTTAATACAAGTATGTATTGCAAAATGATTACTACAATAAAGTTAGTTAACACCTCCAATTACTTTTTTTGTTTGTGTGGTGAGAACATTTAAGTTTTACTCTTTTGGTAATATTCAAGCATGCAGTCACCATGCTATACGTTGGAACCTCAGAACTTACTCATCTTAAAATTGTAAGTTTATATTATTTGAACAACATTTCTCCATTAATCCCAACCCCAATTCCCTGGCAACCGCTATTCGAACCTCTGTTTCTATGAGTGCACTTTTTTCAGATTCTGCATGTAAGCGAGATCATACAGTATTTGTCTTTCTTTGACTTTTGTTTCACTTAGCATAATGCCCTCAAGGTTCATCCATGTTGTTGCAAGTGATAGGATTTCCTTTTTTTAAATGACTAATATTTCTCTCTCTCTCTCTCTCTCTCTCTCTCTCTCTCTGTATGATATTTTCTTTATCCATTCATCCAGTGATGGACATTTAGGTTGTTTCCAAGTCTTGACTATCGTGCATAATGTTGTAGTGAACATGGAAGTGCAGATAAATCTTCAAGATAGTGATTTCATTTCCTTTAGATATATACCCAGAAGTAAAATTGCTAGATCATATGGTAGTTCTAGATTTATTTTTTTGAGGACCCTCCATACTGTTTTCCATAGTGGCTGCACTAATTTATATTCCTACCAATAGTGCACAGGGTTCCCTTTTGTCCACGTCCTTACCAACAGCTGCTATCTCTTATTGTTTTGATAGGCAGTGATTTTAACAGGTGTGAGGTGATATCTCATTGTGTTTTGATTTGCATTTTTCTGGTGATTAGTGATACTGAACATCTTTCCATGTTTCTGTTGGCCGTTTTTATGTCTTCTTTAGAAAAACGTTTGTCGAAGTATTCTGCCCATTTTTTTCCATTGGCTTTTTTTTTTTTTTTGCTATTGAATTATCAATTCCTTATGTATTTTGGATATTAACCCCTTATCAGATAAATGGTTTGCAAAGGTTTTCTCTCATTCTTTAGGTTGGGTTTTCATTTTATTGGTGGTTTTCTTAGCTGTGCAGAAGCTTTTTAGTTTGATGTAGTCCTACTGGTTTATTTTTGTTTTTGCTGCTTGCTCTTTTGGTATCATATCCAAAAAATCATTGCTAAGATCAACGTCAAGGAGCTTTTGTCCATGAGCTTTCTTCTAGGAGTTTTACAGTTTCAGGTTTCACATTTGCGTCTTTAATTCATTTCATGTTACTTTTTGTGTATGATATAAGTTAGGAATTCAATTTCATTCTTTTGTGTGTGAATATCCAGTTTAC